TATGAGATTCGGGATGAGAGATTAAGTGTTTGTTAGTTAAAGATTCAAAAACCTTGCTTATGATAAGAGAAATATAACAGGTATGTTGTCTGGGCCGCAAGCTGTAGAAGAGTCTAAGCAGGAAACCACTTTAGATACAGAAGCTGGAGTGATACGGATATCGAACGATGGATCAACCTGTTTGACGGCTATATCAGGTAGAACGCAACTAGTGGAATCAAGAGATGATATTGATGAAAAGTTCTTGGCAAACAATTCAGCTTTGTCTTTAGGTGAGGTGACAAAGTCTGAACCGTACAAAAGAGGTGGAATTACAGACTTGCCCTTATTATTGATAATATTAAAAATTCTCCAGAAGTCACGAGAGCCTAATTTTTGTGATGAAATATGAGATTTCATAATCTGAGAATAGCGGGCTTTGGCGTTAGACAAAACTTTTTTACAATGGTTCCTAGCAGTATTAAACAGATATCTGTTTTCTGGAGAATTGTTTAGCTGATAGATATGGAAGTAGTTTCGATTGGCAATTGCAGCAGCACAATGTGAGGAAACCATGGAGAAGAGTGAGGCTTGACCTGGAATCATCAAGAGGGAATAAAGGATTCCATGCCAGCCTGAATCCACAAAGTTATGTAAGAAACGCGCTTGTCAACAGGAAGACGAAAAAATTTTACCCAAGAGCCATCACGAAGAAAATCACCGATAGAGTCCCAGTAAGCTTTAAGGTAGTTGTAAGATGTACAATGATAGAGGGATTCTGATGGTAAAGAAGAATGAGATAATAGTTTTAGAGAGACCAAACCATGATCGGAAGCACCTAAGGGTGAGTGTGGAGAAACTGAAATCTGACTAGGATTAGAAACAAAACTTAAGTCGAGTAGAGAAGGTAAATGATTCGGGTTGTCTGGAAAGCGAGTTGGAAAGTTGACTATTTGAGTTAGGGATTGAGAAAGACAAAAGTTGTGGGCCTTAATGCCTGCGGCGTCACTGACACTAGAGCCAAGCCATTCAGTGTGATGAACATTAAAGTCATCAACAACAACAATATTGGCTGATGGATAAAGAATGAGGGCTTGGTCAATATAATCAGAAATAACATCAAGAAGAGTGCAGTCTTGAGATGAAAGAGAGCGATATAGAACAAAGAGAAAGGTGATAGAGTGAAGTGGTGCTAAACGAAAGCACATAAAAGAGTAGTCTGTGGATTCAAAGTTTCCCGACAAATGGGTGAATTCTTACGAATGTAAATGCCTAGGTCAAGCATGTGACTATTGGAGTCTTTATGAATTAAAGGAAGATAACCATCAACACTAAGATCACAAGATGAGACAGCTGAACTCAAATTAGTCTCACAAAGAGCAAATAGGTCTGGTGAACTTTGCAAGAGATAAGACTCAACAGAAGAAAAGTTACTTCGAAGACCACGAATATTGGTGAATGATAGGTTTAGCGAACTTAGTGATGACTGTGGTTTTTTGTGTTTTATAGTTTTTGTTACTTTATTCATTTTTAAGTTTGTTTAAGAACTTGACTCGAAACATAGATAGTACTCAAACACTGTTTTATAGCCCAAGCAATTGCCTCATTTCTACTAATAAACCCTAAGCCATTACAAAGGGCTCCAATGTGTCCTTGGCAATGCACATCAAAAGTACAAACAGGGACACCATCCATGCGCAACATGGCACTGTTAGTTAGATATTTTTCAGCTGTTGTTGGAATCAGCCTCTCTGAGAGCTACCACAGAGTTCGGGAAACCTGACTACCAGCCGGCCTCAGAACCATAAAACTGAGTTTTAGAGCTGTACCCTCATTTGGAGATAATAGAATGAGTTGCCTAGTCATAAAAACAGAGACACAAGCAAAACCCATGCATCGAGTCAAGAAAATCCAGCATCCAACATCCTAAACTGGAAACAATGTATTAAAAATATATCTACGCCAGCCTAATAGATGGTGAAGGGGTGCGAGACTGGTCAACAGATAGAATCTGTCTACCCCTTAAGTCTTTGCCTTAGTCTAGGCCTTCTACAAGACAGCAGCCTGATGCATTTAACATCTGCCCAAGATGAGTATTATACCATATATACCATATATAGAGTATTATACCATATATACCATATAACTTTATTTATAACCATATAACCATATAATTTTAACCATATAACCATATAACCATATATGACCATATAACATATATAACCATTAGTGATGTACCGATTGCACATTTTTGGCCGAAGCCAATACCGATGCCGTAAAATGGAATCAGAACTGGTAAGCAAGTACTTGGACCCAAATCAGAGTCAAACCTTTATTTTAAAAGATATTAGAAAAGCTCAATTAAATAAATATATATTTTTTACTTTTTTTCAACTATGAAAAGAAAACTTTCAAAAAATAAATACAATTTTAGAGGAATACTTTTTATTTCAATTTTAAAAAGAAAATGGTATTAAAATAAGCAGTTTAAATTTTAGGCTCTTTATAAAAAACTAATAAAAATAACCTTTATAACATGAAATATATACATTTTCTCAAAATGAAATAAGAGACTTCAAAATCAAATACAAAAGAAAATAGTAGCTTTAAGATTTTAAACAGTTGTAACAATATTTAGTATTTAAAATTGTGTATACGAATATTGGAATGTAAAAACATAAGCATTTCTCCTGTTTCCGGAGCCAACCTACTTCGACGTGGAGAATAAATTTGTCTTCCACAACTAAATAATCGTTCACTTTCAACAGAAGATGGAGGGCATGATAAATACTTCTGAGCTATTGGAGCTAATTGTTTGAAGTTATTTCTATTTGCTCCCCACCATACTATAGGACTATCTTGTTGCATGATTATGTCTTGACTCAAATACATTAAAACTTCATTTTTCAATTTTATATGATGTTTGCTTTCTGTTTCTTGCAGAACTTCAGATGTGGATGTGTTTTCAATTAAAGTGTTTTTATTTTTAAAAAATTTTCAAAGCATTTTGAAAAATCAAAATCTAGATTTGTTGTACTTGATGAAGAACTGACCTCAGGTTGAAATTCAATATGATCATTTTGTTGAAAACTTTTTGAGCAATCTACAAGCCATTTAATAACATTTTTAAGATAACTGTCAGCTACTTCGGTTGGAAAAAAATTATTTTTATACCTTGGATCTAAAAATGTGGCTAAAATGAGATTTTTGTCATTGAGATATTTTTCAAATTTTTCATTTGCTGAGTTTTTACATTCTTTTAAAATTGTTCCTAATCCAAAAAACAAGGGAGACTTTTCAGCTTGAATTAACATGGTTTGTATAACTTGTACAGTTGGAATTATAGCAGGTGTAATTGCTTCACGCTCACTTAATAAATTTGTTATATCATTAAACATTTTTAAAAATCGTTGTAATTTTTCTAAAATAATCCATTCATTGTTTTCCAAGGACTTTAGTTTAGAGTTATCATTACCACAACAAAATGGGATTAAAGCACGCTTCTATTCAAAAATTCTTTCAAGTATATAAAGTATTGATTATTCCATCTTGTTGCAGCCAACCTTCAACCTTTAATTTTAAAAAACCTCTGTCACATCGTCGTAATGTTGCTCCTTTTTCTCTTTTCTACAAATACTATAATGGGCACTGCTCTAAAAAGCTAGCATCTTTTGTGCCATCTACAAAAATTCATTCTCATGTTACTAGCCATTCAATTAAGTCTCATCCTTTTTCTGTTAATGTTCCTAAGTGCTCCAAAAACTCTTATTCGTCTAGTTTTTTTCTTTGAACATCAGTTCTTTGGAATTCGCTTCCTTTATCTTGCTTTCCTGATTCATATAATTTGCAATCTTCTAAGTCGTCTGTCAACCGTTATCTTGCTCTACAATCTTCATCTTTTCTCTTCCAGTAACTTCCAACACTAATTAGTGGTTGCTTGCAGCCTTGTTGGAAGCGAAGATGTTAAAAAAAAAAAAAAGTTAGCAAACTTGAATTATTAAAATTTGTATATTTGAACAAACACTTTGTTTTTTGTGAGAAGAGATTATTGTTTCAAGTGCCATAAAATAATTTTACTACTAAAAGCAAGGTTAATGCAAAAACTTTAACTCAATTTTAGTCATGAACTATTTAATTAGACTTGGTAAGTATTTATTAACAACCTTACACCATATTATTAGAACTGTATGCACAGAAAGAAATAAAATGCTTAAATTTTTTAAATGCTTGAGCTTTAAATGTTTAGAATAAACATATTAAAATCAAAATCTTTATTTTGTAACGCAATCAGTTTATCAGCTCAGTGAAATTATTTTTTAAAATAAGAACTTCTAGATTTAAAAATGTACTCAATTAACAGCTAATCCCCCTTTCAACAACATTTTTCCTAATTTTGCAAAAACTGCAGCTTGATTTCAGACTTCAATAAAGTCTGTTTTAGTTAACCTTTAACAATTAAGTTTTTTTGTTTTTGCAATAGTTAAAACAATGAGTGTATTTGATATTAACTATCAGAAATATACTTTTCTGATTTTTTTTTAGATGAAAAGTAACATCAAATAACTAAAATTCATTCAAGTTCATCATTTGTTGTGTTTATTCTAAACTAAAAGAAGTTTTTTTACTAATGCATTAAATGTTGTAAGATGGAACATTTTATTGGTGTTTTTACTCTTTTTACAAAACAAAACTACCTCTGATATTTCAAAAGTTATAAATGTTTTAGTATAAGTCAATATTTTCAAAAAATAACAAGAAACTTTAAAGCTTGGTTTGAAACAGCAGTGCACAGGGCAAAATAAAATTTCAGGCCACCATCTCATAACAATATGATTATCTTAACAATATGATTATCTTATTATAAGTTTTTGGTTTTGTTATCTGCATTGATTATTCCTTTTACTTTTACTTACTTTATTTTCTTGACTTGGATAGTGTCACATAATCAAAGTCACTTTTTATTTTAGACTTAAAATGAAGTAAATATAAGAAATAAACAAAAAACAAAATTATGAATAAACCTTTGCGTCCTAATCGTGATAAAACTCCAGAAACTGAAAGGAAATTTATATCATGTCCAGCTTTTGAAGCTAATTGTCCATTCATTCCATAACCTAGTTTAAATTCATTAAAAAGATTATAAACATAAATTTAAAGATAAAACTTATTTAAAAAAAATTTATTTCCATAAAAATGAATACTCATAAAAAGAACGATTCTCGTGAGCCATTATGAGCTTTATTATTGTTTATTTTGATAGTAACTTTTACACATCTTTAGAACATATCAAAGTTTGATACAGTACATTCAATCCTAATCAAAAAATTAGAATATTATGAAATCAGAGAAATGCCTCTCAAATGGTTTACTTTCTATTTTTACAGTAGATTGCAGTTTGTTTCAATTAATGACTCAGAATTTATTCAAATAAAATGTTAAAATGTCCCTCAAGGCTCAGTATTAGGACTACTACATTTTCTTCTTTACATTAATGACCTCAATAACTCTATTAAGTTTTCAACCACTTACCACTTTGCTGATGATACTAACTTGCTATCAACAAATCTTTAAAAAAACAAACAAACACATGGGTTTGTTCAAATAAGCTTTTTCTCAACTGTAGCAAAACTAAACTGGTTATATTCAAATCCAACAAATCAAAATTCAATAAAAATTTAAATTTAAGATTAAGTGGGCAGAAAATCAATCCTGTAAACTCAAACAAATATTTCGGAATTAAAACCCAACCTTTCTTTTGTATCCCATCTTAAAGACTTAGCCATGAAAGTTAGCAGATCAAATGGAATGCTGGCTAAACATCACCATTCTGACAACCTAGAAACACTCTTGAATTTATAACATGCAACTTTTTAAAAACCTCCTACTTTCAACAAGCTCTATCCCTATATGTGCAAATAATTGTTACTTTCTTTGATCCATAACCTACCAGTCTTAAAACACCATTCTGCTATTTATGGACTTAATTCCATAAAATATTCAAGTACAAAATATTGGAATAATCTTCCCTATGATCTAAAAGCTCTCCAGTTAAACTGTTTCTAAAAGCAATATATTCTACTCCTTTCTAGATAAATGCAACAAATATATCTAAAGATATGCGTATGTATATAAATGTATGTGTAATTGAGCGTGTAAGTATTTGTTTTTTTGTTATCATTCTTATTATTGTTATTATTACTACTTTCATATTTATCATTATTACTATTATAATAATAGTATACATTACTATTAATGTTATTGTTATTAACTCCAGCAAAGCTTTTACTTATAATTAGCATATGTACTATTTGTAAATACTCTTAAAGCAGGCCTTGGCGGGAGTAAATGAGCATGAGAGCAGAAAAAAGCTTTCCTAAAATAAACTTGGGGGCCATGCAAGCAGTTCCTCGTGTTCTTTTTACCTTTGTTCTTGCGTTTTTACAGTTAGTCCAATCTAATCAAAAACATTTACATTTAAGTCTGCACTCTTTTAATTCTAATTTTTTTTTTTTTTAGCAACAACCTTGCCTTTTAAAAAGCATTGAAGTTTATTATTTATTTATTTATTTATTATAGATACAACTACTACAGAAATATTCTGTGAAACGACTCTATTAGTAAAGAAGAATTCTCTTTGGCTAATATTCATCTTGGATTGCTTGATGATGGGGTGTTGATTATTTCTAATCGCTCCTGCAGGACTTTGGAGCTGATGCCAGTACGGTTGATTTATTGGGACTTGCCAATTTACTTTTATGATGCTGTTGGAGATTTTAAAATAATCAATTAATATTCCCTTAATTCTTCATTCTTTAAGGGTAGTTAAACCAAGAAATTTGAGTCTCAATTCATAGTTTAGTTTACACAAAGTAGGTGCTAGCTTTGTAGCTCGTCTTTGTATTCTTTTAAGATTTTTTATGTCTTTTTTCCTGTAAGAATTCCATGCTGAAGAAAATGTTTCAAGATGAGGTCTTACAAGTGATGTGTACAAAATCTTGATTGATTTTACATTCCAATAATCAAAAGTTCTTTTAAGCATTCCAAGAATATAGTTAGCTTTTGAAACGGCTTTTTGGCATTGGATTTCCCAATTTAAGTTATTTGTAATTACAATACTAAGGTCACGCTCGGCTATAGTTTCATGTAAATCTTGACCATATACCTATGTAAATCTTGACCATATACCGTATACCTATGTTATATTGATTTTTTTCTAATATACATAACCTTACATTTGTCATTATTAAATTTCATGTACCAATCGCCAGCCCATTTTGTAGCTGCATCGATGTCATTCTGTAATGAAATGCTATCCTTAGGGTTTTTTACGACCGCAACTAGTTTTGTATCATCAACAAAAAGCTTTATGAAATTTGCTGCCACTTCGGACAAATCGTTAATAAATATAATGAGGTCCTAAACTAGAACTTTGTTGAATACTACTAATTACATTGCGCCAGTCAGAGCAGTAGTCACCCATCACTACTTTCTGCTTCCTTCCTTTAATGAAAGAAGTACACCATTTAAGAAGATTGCCTTTGATACCATAGGCTTCAAGTTTTATGATAAGAGCATCATGTGGTACTAAATCAAAAGCTTTAGCGAGATCGAGGAATACTATATCAACTGAGGCACCAAAATTAAGAGATTCGGTTATGATGTTCAATGTTTCTAATAAGTTCATCAGCCAAGATTTATTTCTAATAAAACCATGCTGTTGGTTGAAGAGCAATTTATTGTCAATGAGATGTTTTATGATAATTTTACAAGCTACAGACTTGAGAGCAATGGGTCTATAGTTTGATGGGTTTGTTCTGCTCCCTTTTTTGAATACTGGTGTCAAATTTGCTTCTTTCCATTTTGTTGGAATAAAGCCTACTTCGCATGAATGTTTAAAAATTTTACATAATATTTTTGAATAGCTATCTGTGCAGCTTTTTAATAAATATGGGTAGATTCCATCAGAACCAGCTTGTTTGTATTTATTTTGCAGTTCAAGTTCTATTTTAATAATTGAGCTTTTGAAAAAATCGACAGATGGATTTTGTTCATGATTTAAATTCAGGATATTTTTTATTATTTTGGACCGAATTGAATACATTATAAAAGTGAATGTTGAATTTATTGCAGATTTGCATCCTTTGTTATAAGGGATCGTATTTTTTGATTTTTTTACTATTTGCATATGTATATATTAATTTGGGATTTAGTTTAGCTTTTTTGATCAAAGTGGATTCGTAATTGATTTTTTCGGCTTCTCTAATGATTTAAAATGTGATGAATACTTTTTTTTAATAGAATCTTGTTTATTTGAGGCTAAAAATGAGCACCAAAGGCTTTTTTTTAATTGTATTTGGGTTTTTAAATTATTAGTTAGCCAGTGTGGTCTGAATTTGGTACTTAAGATTACATTTTTTCGAATAGGAATGAATTTATCCTTAGCTAAATTAGTTTCGGATAATAACTTTTCATACATATTATTAACATCAAAGTTATTGGAAAGTTTATCAAATTTTAGGTCTAAATATTTAGAGATACATTTAAAGTCACCTTTACTCATATGGAACTGATTTAAAACTTTTTTTTCGACATACTGCGATAGATTTTATTTCAGTTATTAAACTAAAGCTTACTGAAGAATGTAAGTGATTACAGCTAGTAGACCCGAGTGGTGGTCTAATTGTTGCATTATAGATAGATTCAGGACAACTTGTAAAAATAAGATTTAAGTAGTTTTTTAAAAACGTTGGTGCAATTATGTTTTGTGTTAGATAGTTAGAGTCAATCAGATACTTAAATTTAATACTGCACGGATCGCTAGACTTTTTAAGTCTGCTGCCATTATTATCCCATATAACATCAAGATGGTTAAAATTGCCCATAATTAACAGCTTACATTTTTCATTTTTGGTGACTAGATTACAAGCTCCTTGTATTGATTTATTTATTTGATTTGAAATGCCAATCGATGAGTTAGGTGGTCTGTATATACATCCTATAACTAACTTTTCATGGTTGCTTATTATAATTTGAGCCCAGATTTCCTCATTTTATTGGATAACTCATTGTCTATAATTTCTAATGAAGTTAAATCATTTCTAGTGTATATGGTTACACCACCACCACAAACTTTAGATCTGATTTTGTTGTATAAAGAGTAATTCTCGATTGAGTTGAATGTATTGGTGTTAAACCATGACTTGGTAATTGCTATTATGTGATAGTTAAATGATGCTATAAGTAATTTTAGCTCATTCATTTTATTGTTTAAGAAAGTAGCATCGCAATAATAACAAGTTATTTCATTTAAATTCTATTGATTCAAAGGTTTGTTATGTCTGAGGTTAAATAATTTCAATTTTCTTGAGTTTGTACGTATGCCCCAATAGAATTTCTTTCCATTGTTAACACCATTCTTGTTAGTTAGCCTCCCATCTAGTCTGATATGATAATTGGAAGGTTACTGTTGCGCTAATTTCTTTCAGTTTGCAGTTGTCTATCAAGAATTCTCTCAGCTTTGGTTCGATCAATGTTAATGTACACTTTTTTATGATATATTGTAATTTTTTTTGAATTTTTTAGAGCGGTTTGTTGTGATAAATTAGTTTTAAATTTTACAAGTATCATTTCTAGAGGTTTAGGTTCTGTTTGAGTAGATTTTTTGATTGGGTTTCTTTTTATTCTTCTTTGAATTTTTACATCATTTCTAGTAAGGTCAAGAACTTCAAGAATTTTATCCACTTCAGTTGTACCATGCGTATCACTGTCTTGTTCATTTTCAGTGATCCCATTGATTATTACATTATTTTCAATACGCAATTTTTCTTTGTTTTCTTTTGCTACTTTTGAAAGCAGAAGTTGCAACTATAGTTGTACTTTTGCGAGAAAAATTATACTTATGTAAGAACTGTAAATTGCTCCTGTAAACCGTTTTAGGGGAGTGTGGGCAAGAGAGAGAGCTAAAGCTCTCGCTTCCCGCTGAGGCCTGATGAAGTGTAAACTCTTTCAGAACTATATTGATTATCTCTGTATTATTTATACTATATGAAACAACCATGATTTACAATAAATCATGATAACCCGAAATAATAAATATAGATAATATTTAGTAATTTCCGATATTATCTACATAATATAGGAAATCACTAAATAATACAGATAAAAACTTTTGGCAAAAATTTTCAATTTAGATTCTGAGCTCCTGTATGTATACTTATAATAAAATATAGTTTTTTTTTTTTAATAATTAAATGAATAAAAAAGTATGGTGGTTTTCCCAAAATTATTTTTTATTAGTATCCTGTAGACCTATAAATAGTGTTGCCAGGTGTCTTGCTTTTACGAAGGAGAACACAATAAAAATCTTTATTTTTATAGTTTCAGCACTGTTCTCAAACATAAAAGCCAGACATCTGGCAATAAATGCATTTGTACATCGATACACTTATTTAACTGATTTAATTGTACAGTAAATAACCTGAATCTACTAAAGTGTGTATATAAAAACCCAAAACCTCAGTCAATGTAATAACAACTCCCTTACATGTTGTCCCTATATTAGTTGATTTATCCACTAAACCTTGATTTGCATACTTGAATGGTTATAACTTCTAGACATAATACTAAACTATGTTATGTAGACTAGATAATTGCATAATATACAAATTATATTTCAAAAATATAATCTTTTTAAAAGAGCAAAAATTTAACTTGTAAAAATTTGTCTTTGTCATTTTTAAATCTATAAAATATTTATTGTGATTTATAGTATTACCTTTTAATAAATAAAAAATAACAGAAATTTAATATAAGCAGTAAAATGCCACCACTTACCATTTAATCTAACATATATTAATTTTTCATTCAATGCACAAAGAGATTTAGGACATAATTCTAGTCTCTCCATAACACCAGGACGAAAAGGTTCAATTAGTATATCACTTAACTTACTCAGCCTTTTAAACACGGATTTTCCATTTTCAGTTTTCAAATTTATTGAAACCGACTTTTTTCCTCTAGAAAGCACATCACGCGAAACATGTTCCCCAACCATGTTTACTCTGGTAACTTGGGCACCAAAATCAGCAAGAACCATACCACAAAATGGAGCTGGTGCAAGACCAGCTAATTCCAGAACTCGAATACCAGAAAGGGGAAATCGAGATAATAAACCTGATTCAGCCATATACAATGTTTCAAGACAAACAACAGCAAAATAAAGGAAATTAAACTTTTTTTGTCTTATACAGTTAGGCGTCTTCTTAATTATACTTAATCCAGTCAATGTCTAATGCCGTTAGTTACTCAATTAGTTACAATTCGGTAAAACTTCTAAAAAAAATTTCTTTTGCTGCAATCAAAACATTGTCTTTTTAAGGGACGTTTAATGTCAACGAATGTGGACGTAATTTCTCTGTTTTCTGTATAAATATAGTCATGAGAAATAGTAAACAATAATAATAATAAATAATAGTAAATAAATTATCTATTTCTTTCATAATAGATCTTTTTCTAAACAACGCGCATTGTTAGAGGATGACCACGACCACGAGATCTTTCAACTTTCAACAGGCTGTATGAGGGGAAGTTTAAAACAGATTAAAAACAAATCGCATTGGCAACGAGGTGTTTTATCGCTCTTTAGCCGATGGCGGAAAGCCAACACAAAATAGCATGCCGGTCCTGAATCAGCTAACGGCCGCGGTAAGCCGCATTAGGAATCACAAAGGGCCGGCACCGGCTTGCCGGTGGCGGCTTTGCGCATCGCGGTCCGCTGAAAGGATGTTTGCTGGAGAGGTTTGTTTCATACAAATTAAAAAAAAAGGATTCAAAGTTAACTTTTTTGTTTTCCTGCTGGATAGTTAAATAAGAATCTTAAATTAATTTTTAGGAGCTGTAAAAAGAAATCCTGCAACAACTTCAGCAACTGAATCAGATTTTCAACATGAGGTTGTGCATTTTTTGCGTGGTGCATCAGACCGCAATGGTGGACAAAAAGCTAGACAAGACCAAAAAACAAACAGGCTAAGAAAAAAGTGATGCCAACATCATGTTTTCCAATGCCATTAAATAAAGAGTCATTTTTTAGTTCAGAAGATGAATAACATTGTTAAATAAAATAAGCATCTTTATTTACAAATTTGTTATCTTTATTTTACAATATTTAATATATTTTTAAATGTTTTGATTTTTACATTCAATGGAGTGAAGTTTTTGTGCAATGAGTATTACTGTTTCCATGTTTTTTATACTTATTCCCTTTTACAGTAACCTCTTGCATATGAGATTGTAGATGAGAATTTAAATCGTGATATTGAATATTACCAGAGAATAAAGTAAGATTAATTTTAATATTTTGATATTATTTGTTTTAATGTTATTTTGAAAAAAAAATCCAAAAAATAAGTTTTGGAGTCTGTCTACTGTTTCATTTGTTTGATTATATTAAATATAAATATAATTATAAACTTTAAAATATTAAGTTATTTATGGAAAGCTAAATTAACTTGGTACTTAACCGGTGAAGCAGATGAATAAAAATTTAACAAAATTTTTATTTTACAAGCCATTATTTTAAAAGATTGCTTTAACAATTCCGTTCAAACATGCTTGTAATTTAATGTTACATTTATGATTTAATATTATTTCTTTACAGGAAACTTTTTACCTCGATCAGAGTTATATTTCATAGAATTATGTTGACCATGATCCAAATATTGCCATGGGTATTAACAAGGCCGGCGCGATAGGGGAATGACACCCCCCCTTCCCCTTATTAATGATTTTTAGTTGGCAAATTTGACTCTTTGTTGGCAAATTTGACCCTATTTGACTAGTTAGTCGGCAAATATCGACCCTTTCGATATAGGTTAATCGGTAATTTAGACAGTTAGTCGGCAAATGCCGTCATGGCAGTCGGCAAATTTTCGATAACAAGGACCTTTTTTTTTTTTTTAGTCGGCAAAAAGGTCAGGGCAAGGATGGTGGGACTTTATGTATATTTATTAATAATTGTTTATCATACAAATCTATGCAAAGTTCAAGCACTAAAGATTACAAGTGTATGAAAATCATTCAAGCAAAATCTCAAGAAATATAATTGTGCACCCTTTCAAGCTCTTGGATAAAAAAAGGAATCATAAAATCTTCAAAAAATAAAACAGCTGTTATATTGCAAATATCTTAAGAAAAGCATACTAAAAAATGAAACGGGCTATAAAAAATTATAAACATTTATTTGAGTCAACTTTTAGACGCTCAAAAACTTATCACTATTCAAAGCAAATAGTAAAAAGTAATGGTTCACAAAAAACATAGCGAATTATCAAGAAAGTAATTGGCAAGAAAAATTTGGGCAAAAATGCTCTTTAAAAAAATCTCAAAATAAATAACAGATTAATTGTTAATAAATCCAAGGTAGCAGTAATACTTGACAATTTTTTTGTAAATGTCGGTAAAAATTTTGCCGATGAAATTAAACCATCTCAAGTTTGTTTTCAATCATACTTGACATTTAATAACGCTGTTATGTCTAATAGTGATCTTACAGAGAAAGAAATATTAAATTCAGTATCTTTGTTAAAAACTCACAAAAGTTCAGGTTTAGATGATATGAGCAGTAATGTCATTATTAAATCAATATCTTTAATCAATCAAAGTATATAGCAATACCAATTTAAAACATTTTTTATTTATTTCTGAAACATGGAGTTTTTCCTAAAAAACTAAAAAGTCCAAAGGTTACACCAATTTTTAAAATAGGTGATCCTTCTGATGAGTCCAACTACAGACCGATCTCAGTTCTTAACTGTTTTTTGAGATTTTGGAGTGTGTTAGATATAATAGACTTTATTCCATCTTAAATGCTAATAATATTCTTTACAATAAACAAATTGGGTTCAAATGTAGTTATTCGACTAATCACATGATCATTAATCTGGTACATAAAATATTTAAAGCTTTTGATGAAAAAATTTACTTAAGGTGTTTTTATTGATCTTAGAAAACCGTTCGTAACCGTAAATTATAATATCCCTTTATATAAACTTAAAAATTATGATATCGTAAATTCTAACTTAGCTTGGTTCAAAGAGTTATTAAAAAAAATAGGAAGTATTTCAATGGAGAAAAAACGGATTTAATAACAATTTCATGATCAATTTTTGGACCGCTTTTATTTCTCATTTATATAAATGACCTAAGTAAATTCTCAAATATCTTAAATTCAATCTTGTTTGCCGACGATACTAATGTATTTTATTCTAAGACATTGATGTTTTAATTCCAAGAGTAAACAAAGAGCTTGCAAAACTAAGAGAATGGTTTAGTCGAACAAATTCTCCATAAATATTAAAAAAAAAAAGAAACATACTTTTTTCCATTGTCTTCATAAAAAAAAAGGATATTGCCTTAGTTCATGATCGTTTTTAAATAATACATGATAAGAGAGACCATTTTTTGTCAATTCTAGGAGTAGTTTTAGATGAAAATGCAACATGAAAGGAGCACATACGTATAATCCAAAATAAATGATATATAAAAAAATAGGCCTCCTATATTTTTTTTATTTTATATTTTTCCTCAATCCTCGATCACAATCAGAGGACCTAATTTGTGGAACTCATTAATATGCAATTTGTGGAACTCATTAATATGCAATTTGTGGAACTCATTAATATGCAATTTGTGGAACTCATTAATATGCAATTTGTGGAACTCATTAATATGCAATTTGTGGAACTCATTAATATGCAATTTGTGGAACTCATTAATATGCAATTTGTGGAACTCATTAATATGCAATTTGTGGAACTCATTAATATGCAATTTGTGGAACTCATTAATATGCAATTTGTGGAACTTATTAATATGCAATTTGTGGAACTCATTAATATGCAATTTGTGGAACTCATTAATATGCAATTTATGGAACTCATTAATATGCAATTTATGGAACTCATTAATATGCAATTTATGGAACTCATTAATATGCAATTTATGGAACTCATTAATATGCAATTAAAAAGAGTTAAAAACTATTCCTTCCCTTAATCAATTTAAAAATACTTAAACAAAAACTTTTGATAATTGACAACGAATTAGACTTCTTATGAAAATTTCAAATAGGAGTAATCACTTATTTTTTACTTGTTTTTAATTTTTTTTTTTTTTTTTTACTACATTCTTTATAATATTTATTCTTGATTTTGATCTGAACCTGATTTCTGTTTATAATCTGATTTTTGATTAGATTTATAAATCTGAAATAATAAACAATTGTAAATATAAACAATTGTAAATATAAACAATTGTAAATATAAACAATTGTAAATATAAACAATTGTAAATATAAACAATTGTAAATATAAACAATTGTAAATATAAACAATTGTAAATATAAACAATTGTAAATATAAACAATTGTAATAATAATATGTTTTATAAAATGTGTGTTTAGAAATGTGTAAATAAGTGAGTACCTATACATTTCTTGTATAATATATTCAATTGTTTTTTTAAGTAATGAAATATTTGTTAACATTTAAATAATATGCTTAAAACAGTTTTTACTACAATATAAATTATTAATTTAATAATAAAGACAATAATTGAATTATTTTGGTATAAGATCTTAAAGTTATTTTTTTATACTTATTGCTGTATTAACATTTCAAATGTTTGATTTATTTAATAAAGAAGACATTTTAAATTCTTCTTTATTAAATATATCAAACATTTGAAATGTTATACAGACTGTTTAACATTTCAAATGTTTTACAGTATATATTACAGTATAAGTATTGAAAACTGTATTACAGTATAAGTATTGAAAAAAAAAATTTTTTATAATTTATATATAATAGTTTAGATTATATAGCTATTATAAGATATATTATTAAAGGTATCAATAACATATATATATATATATATATATATATATATATATATATATATATATATATATATATATATATATATATATATATATATATATATATATATATATATATATATATATACTACTATTACTAAAATATCAAAACTGTACAAAAAGTGATTTTACTTATTTATTTTATTTACTACTTATGTAGAGCTTTCTAATATTCCATCTTTCTGAAGCAGAGGGACATAATTCTTAGTTTTATTTTTTTTTAATTTAATATATCTGGATATTTTTCATATTTAGCTTGCGTACAACAGTTATCAACTTTAAGCTTATACATTAACTTTAGTTATAACTTAATTATTAATGATTTGATTTATAGATTTTTAAAGCAATACAAGATTAAATTTAGCAGAAGTCTAAATTCTGCTCTGGAAACAAAAAAGAAAGACACCAAAAATGACCATTCAAAATAATGATTAAAGAGACAAAAATTGTGTATATCTTATTAGATGTTGAATGAACAAAATTTATTAAAGGTAAGTTTTTATATAAAAGTCTTTATGTCAAATGATTGAAAATCTTTATTCATAGCTTCAACTTTTACAATTTTAAAGACTTTTTCATATATTACGGTCAAAAAGTCAGAGTGTTAATTAACATTTTATTGTGTAATAATCAACATATCAAAGCTTACACTACATGCTTGGTTGGGAAGAGGGAGCGATAGCTCTTGAATACTGACCATGGAAATTATATTTAGTTGCAAAAAACTGGCCAGGTTTTAAGTCGTTTTGAGAACATTTAAGTTTATGAAAGTAACAAAAATTTTTTGTTGGATTTTAAAGTTGGTGTCACCAACTTTGAAATCCATTTGAAATCAACTTTTGAAAAAAACAATAGAGCATTCATATCAGTTTAAAGTTTCAGCAGTTGCTGGTGGTTCATTATTGTTCATTATATAAATGTTTATTTTATTTTATTTAATAGACGAAGGTAATACAATATTTTTACAGATGATATTATTTTTAAAAATTGTATTATTAAAATTCAGAACTAAAGTATGTAAAAATAATTATTTACAAACATTGGACAAGGTCCGTACTGTACCTTGAAAATCTGGAAAATTTGTTAATATTGGCTAAAGTCGTGGAAAACCTGGAAAAGTCAAGGACTTTTTTTTTTTTTTAGATAGTCATGGAAAAATCAGTAGTTTTAGTTAAGAAGTTACTCATTTCACAACTGAACGCTGTATTTTGAAAATCTGACGAGTCACACTTTTTTTAAAAAGAGGTTATTCAAAAAGAATATTTTTTTTTAGGAAAAGATAAAATTATCAGATAAAATAAAGATTTTTTTAGATAAAAGAAACAATTTTTAGATAGTATAAAAATAAATATTTTTACTGGAGAAATGTTTTTCACTCTCTTGTAAAATTTTAATTTTGTGACTTGTTACATTTTCAAAATACAGCGCTCAATTAAGCTATTATATTTTTTTTTGGTGCTACTTTATGAAACATATGTTTTTCTTAGTATTCATTCTTAGTCATTCTTAATAATAAGATTCATACTAACATATATATTAAGCTCCATACTAATATCCAACTTAACTAATAGCTAAGTTTTATAAGTTTTATCATTCAAAGCATGTACAATCTTAGCATTTTCATTACAGTAGTAGTAATTTTAAACATTTTGTAAAAACCATTGTTAAAAATGGTCAGGGAAATTCATCTGATTTTTTAAAAAAGTCATTGAATTTTATATAAATAGTTGGCTACTAACCCTGTTGGAGAAACATTGTTTTAATATGAATTATTTTGTTTTACAGTGCAATCTGTATTTTGTAAGATACACAAAACAATTCTCGTTAATGTTTAACGAGAATTGTTTTGTGTCAGTGCCAGAAATTGAATGCATACCTGCAAATTTTATAATTCATAAAAATATTATGAATCCATTAGCAAAAATATATTTTTATCATTAAAAGTTTGCCCCTCTGTCTTTAATTTTATCTGTTTTATTAGTGATAGTTGTATTTACTTACATAAATTCTAAATATAATATGTAATTAGTTGTATAGTTTCTTAATAATATGATTAACTTTATTGTTTTAAGATAAAGTTGTACCCTTGAAAGATATGCTAGTATTATTGGCATAATGGGCAAGCATTGAAGTGCAACTTTGTGAACTACAAAACACATCAAATTCAGTTATAAAAATTTGAGTAACAAAGGTATGCTAATTATTGTATTACCTGAAAGAGTGTCATTGCCATTAAAAGCAGTAAAGAATTCAAGTACTCTGGAAGAAAAAAGACAAGAAAATACTTAAGTAAATAGTAAATATTTTTTTAATGATCTGTTTATGCATTTTGTATGATATTTTAGTACAATTTATATATTTTAAATAAAATACTCTTTGAAGATTTTTTTTTAAATGACATTTTATATTAATTAAAGTCTAAACAAAAGTTACTTTAATTATTGCCAGGTTGTGTATTTTTGCAGGTCAATTATTTGGCACAAATTGGAGTTAAAGACGAAAGAGATTGTATATGTTATTTACTAAGAATAGTTTTTTAAAATGGCCTAACTGTAAAATTCAACTATGCAGGGAGAGGACAAAAAATTGGAATAGGAAAAATGTTGATTGCATATGTTGCTATTGGTAAGTGGTTTAGAAAAGTTTATTTTTTCAGTTTCAATTTTGCATTACAGAATTACTTTCAATTTGCTGTTTCTTTGGTTCATAATTAAACAAACAACTTTTTTTTTTGCAGAAACTGTGAAGTCAAATAAGCATGGCTTATGCAGACATGTGATAGAGATAGTGGAAGAAAAAATAATAATCGTGGGCACCAAATATCATAAGTTAAACACGATTCAATAACAAGTAGCTCAGCCAATATTGGAACTACTCTATAAATTTTATAGTGAGTTTTTTTATTTAAAACTCAATGTGTCAGTTTTTGGTTTAAGTTTGGTGTTTGCAATATGTATATTTAACCGAGAAATTATGTTAAATAAATAATTTTTTATACTTGTATCATACATTCTTTTTTTTTTCTATAAATTTTCAATGTAGCGATGCAAATCATCTTATTTGTAACAACGATCTAATGTTGCATAAAACGTTAGGCCGATATATAACATACGATATTGTGGCAATGTTGTATATAACGTTAGGCCAATTTTGTATACAACATTGGCCTAACGTTATGTACAACGTTGGGCCTACCTAACCAATAATCAAACCTGCATTGGGCCAACATCGACTTTCAACGTTGCGTTGGGCCTACCTAACGTTGCTGCGTCGGGCCTACCTAACCAATGATCAAACCTGCATTGGGCCAACATCGACTTTCAACGTTGGGCCAATGCATCATTATGCATTGGCCCAGCGTTGCGCCAATGTAAGCTTGCTGTCTGGGATATGTGTGTATATATATATATATATATATATATATATATATATATATATATATATATATATATATATATATATATATATATATATATATATATATATATATATATATATATATATATAAAGGGGCTCGGCAATAAGACTGAGTTTGGCATATATTTACATTTTATGATAAATACTGTAATTTTTTTTTTAATGGTGAGATACATGATAATAATAACTTTTAATACTTTTAACGTAATTTACTTAAGCAAAACGTGGTGTAATGATGATGATGTTTGTACTAATTTTAATTCGGAAGGTTTTAATTTGATACTATTAGCGCGAAAAGTTGAAAAACGCCTAGGCGGGTTGCAATTTTACGTAAAAGAAAATTTACAACTTTTATATCAGGTATGGCATAGGTATTTCTGACAACAATATAGAGGTTTTAGGCCGAGTGAATAAAAAAAAGCAATTGGTTTTATTCAGTGATTGGTCAGCTTTGCGAATAAAAACTTCAGCAATTTTGCTCAAATTTTTATTCACGTAAAGTGAGCAATTACTCAGCGTTTTTAGAGTAAATTACTTAACTTTAGGTGAATAAAAATTTAAGCGACTTTGCTCAAATTTTTAAAAATTTACTCCAAAAACGCTGAGTAAAAGCAAATACTTTTTTTTATTCACCCGGTCTTTTAACTATTAAAATATTTATCAAAAGAAACTAAAAACATTTTACTAAGCTATTGTTATCGGCCACCATCTGGCGTAATTGGAAATTTAAATCTAGAAGAAAAAAAAATCTACATATTAGTAATATGTAGATTTTTTACATTTTACTTACCTGCAGATTTTTTTTTTCTAGATTAAATTTTCTAATTACGCCAGATGATGGCCGATAACAATAGCTTAGTAAAATGTTTTTAGTTTACATCAAGATGCAAAAAGATACATCGACTTTATTAAGTCGATGTATCTTTTTGTCCCTTTTTAATGGGTTAGCTCAAAGCCACCCCACGCAGGTGACTTTAGCCCCCATTTAAAACCTCTAAAAAACACCTCTCATTCTTAAAAAAAAAACTGGCATTCCTATGCACGTCTAACAGTGCTCGTTGTTTGAGAAAATAACTTTTGTGATTTTCATGCACTAGACTTTAGGTGCAAAATGGGCAAAAGCAATCAATTTTCCGGTATTACTCGAAAGAATATCGGAAAATGATCTGAGGTATTGTTTTTACTAAAACTCTTTTGAATAGTTTCATCAAACAAATCATTGGTAATTATATTATCTATAGAAGATATCTTTGATTGAGAGATTCTAATTGGTTCATTAATCAGAGGAATGGAGCCGATTTCAAATAAAGCATTATAAAACATTTTAACTTTATTTTTGACGTGATATTCAAAACAATCAAGATAAAAGTCTCTTAATATTATTAGGAGACTTTTAAAAGTCCCCTAATAATATAAAGAGACTTTTGAAAAGTTTTTAAAAGTCTTCTAACATTAGTCTGCCATATGCCTTCAGTTTATATAAGAGTCTTTCGTGCGGTACCTTGCCGTACCGGGTTGCCACCATACAGGGTTTTACCTTACCAGGGTAAAACCCTGTATGATGGCATCTGTAACAATATCCCGTAATTCTAATAGGTTTGTCGTGCACCCCCTGTGTTTGACGAAGCCATGCTGAGCTGGGGTAATAAGTTTATTTTTGACACAATGCTGCATAATACATTTGTAGATTAAACCTTTTATAACCTCACAAGCTACCAAGCTTTTGGAAACTGGCCGGTAGTTGCCTTTAACTTACTTCCTTTTTTGAATATAAGTATTACTTCTATTTTTCTCTATTGATCTGGAAAAAAAGGATGTTATAATAGAAGACTTAAATAACATGGTTAAAGGGACAGAAAAAGCTTCTGCTTTTTCTGTCCCTTCAACCATGTTATTTAAGTCTCTCGGATGGATTTCATCAAGTGCTTTTGAAGGTTTCAGCAATCTGATTTTGATTGTTTTATAAGTGATAAAATCAACTCTTTTATTGCAAGTGGCTGGAGATCGGTTTAAAAAATTAGGTAGCTGTCTTTGCGGCTCTACTTCAAATACAGTATAAAAATAATCGTTGACTGTCTTACATATGTTAAATACGTTATCGGTCACCGATCCATTGTTGTCTTCAAGTAATTGGATTTTAACGTGAACTTTGATCTTGCTTTTGACATAAGAATTGAGTCCCTTAGGGTTATGTTTAAAGAACAAGCTAGTGCATCTTTGTAGTCAAGTTTTGCTTTTTTACCACTTTTGTGACGGTTTTTGCTGCTTTGTTATATTCAACTCTAACAAGTGATCCTGGTTCTACTGACACATATTTACCCAGAGTTTACTCCTTTTTTTACACCTTTCATAATCTCACTGGTAACACATGCATGTCGTAATTTCATAAAAATGGGTGGCCAAAAATATTTTTTTTTAAATTTTTTTTATCTTTTTGTCATTTAAACAAACAATTTATTAACTTATTTAGTTCAAACTTCTGGACGGCGCTTTGTTTTGACCCAATTTTTAGAGTTTTTATATAAAAGTAAAAATTTCTAATTTTTTTTTTCTTAGTAATACTTGATAAAGGTAAATTTTTAAAGATTTCTTGAGTTTTTAAGATTTCATAATGACTGGTTTTTTAGGGGGAGGACTCCAAACTACTACCAAGCCACTGACTATATTATCAGTGGTGGAACTACCATACCGCAAAACCCTGCAAAACCCCGCAATGGGGGGGGGGGCAGAGCTGTTAGGGACCCATATTTTTTGAAGGAACTGTAGTGTTTAAAAATTATTATCAATTTAAAAAACTTCAATCCTGTATTAAAGTAACGTCTGACCAATAATTGAAATAAATAAAATATAAAACAACAACAAACTGATCAAAAACAGTAATTACAGAAATGTAAAAAAACACCTCTGTGATGGGGGCCTAAAAATATTTTGTGGGGAAAGGGGGGCCAAATTTGAAGTTCCGTCACTGTATTTTATATACTTGTAGAAACAGTCCATTAGAAAAACAAGACCTAATTAGGTAACGGGACAGTACGCCATAAATGCTTAAAAGGACAATAGTATTTTTATAAATACCAGTGGTCTACAAATATTTTCGGTTGTAGATGTTTCTCCATGGCGAAAATGTGTAATCTATTTTGATTATATACATTTATTTCACACGTCAATATTTTCATCTTTCAAATATTCTTCATTAGTATTTTCTAAATCTTTCATTTTTTTATCTTCTAAATTAATAATTTCTGTTGGTTCCGATGATTCTAACTTTGATGATTCTAGTTTATTGATTCCTTATTATCCACTTCTAAAACTAAAAAAATATTAACTTCTACTAAAAGCTTGAGCACAATTTTCTTCGTCCGTCTAGATTCCAAGAAGTTAGAACTCATTAGAAGATTAGAGGATCTCGTTGCACGGTTAAAGACGTCTTTAAAATTTGCTTCTCTCAAACATTTACAAACATATAGTTAAAGATGTTGTCTATAATATTTGTTTCGGCATTCAGATTCTTCCTCGGCTAAAACTCCCAAAGGAACTGGTGAGTTTATCATTAATTCTCCTCCGTGTGCAAGAACTTTGTACACTGTTGACGGCATTTTATACTAATCATACATATCTAAATACCAACGATATTTTGCAGTAATAATTGTCTTGTCAATCTCTAACACTTCGCTAAGCTTATTTGGATAAAAGAATGATTTTCTACTAATATTTTCGGTTATAGATGTTTCAGCTCCACTAACTGTAGAGAAATCAAATTGAGATGCTTCCTTTTGAATATTAACTGCTGGATGAATTTCTTTTTGTTGCCGTCTGTTATCTTTAATTCCTTGCTTAATCTCCATTTTTTTAAATTCGAGTTAGTATGATATGTAAAAAACACTCTAAAAAATCTTATCCAAGCATGTAATGGTGATATCCCAATATAGGATATCACCGTTGTCATATACTATAATTATTTGTACTTTTTTTTTTTTGCTGTAAATCCACATCTTCAAACATGTTATTGTAGTTGGTGTATCTCTGAAAATGTAACAGTATTGCGTTGACGATGTGTTTTTTAACTAACTGATTGCTAAAACCTTTTCATCAATCATGCCTAAAATCAAAAAAAAAATTTTCCATTGGCCAAATCAATATTTGATATTGAATACAAATCTAAACTTTCATTTTCTATTTAGCATGTTTGTCTAAAACGACTACGGCAGTTTCTTTGATGAAAGTGCAATTGCTTTACAAAATCTTACACTAAGAGGCATCAAATTAGTACACAAAAAGTCATTTTATGAATTTGACACAATGAGCCTTAAAGGTGTTGTTACAATTGCAAACGTGCTTGAATTTTGTCTGTCAGCAGAATCAGAAAATGCCTGGTTG